AATAGCAGTAGCCGTAGTAGTAGTAATAGTGGTAGTAGTAGTAGTAGTAGTAGTAGTAGTAGTAGTCGTAGTCGTAGTAGTAGTAGTAGTAGTAGTAGTAGTAGTAGTGATTGCAGTAGTAGAAGTAGAAGTAGTAGTAGGAATAGTCGTAATGATAGTAGTAGTAGAAGTCGTCGTCGTAGTACTAGTGGCAGCCGTCGTAGTAGTAGCAGTAGTAGTAGTAGTAGTAGTGGTAGTAGTAGTCTTTTAAATTAAAAGCACGACTACATGTAGATGAACAGCAAGAAACGTATATGCGAAACGTTGATGAATCGTGAACAGGTGTAGAAGTGTATGCCAACCATATGCGAAGCGTGAGTGAAACGCATGCAGGTGTATGGAAGGTATGTGAATCGTAAACGGGCCGAACATGATACGTGAATGAAGCGTATTTTCAACAGATAAACGAGGTGGAATTATGTATGAAACGTATGTGTATGGAAGTATGTACGAAACGAATTGAACATCATACGTGTCCGACATGCACGAGAAGAGAAACTGAAAAAAGTGTGTATGACATGTATGTGTAAGAAACGTGCGGGACCCGAAATGTCATGTTGATATTTCCGCCCTGAAATTGCCCGCATCGCCTCCCAGATGCTCACGAGGCGCCCCCAACAGGCCCCCACAGGATCCGAAGAGGCCCCCGGGAGGGCCGAAGAGGCCCAGAAGAGTCTTGCAAGAGGCGCCCCAGGGGCATCCCAACAGATTTTGGTATGCAGGGTGGCGGAGTGGGCCGAAGGCCATTCGATAGCTGTGGCCCTCACAAGATCCTCCACCCTCCTCCTGCTCCTCCTCCTCCGCCTCTTCCTCGTCCTCCTCCCTCCCCTCTTACCTGCTCCACCCATGCCCCCGAGACCGCCGTCGGCCACGGCCACGAGAGCTCCCCAAACATTGGGGCCACAGAGACGCCACATGTGGCAGCCGTTCTCGCCTTCCTCCTCCTCCTTCCTCTTCCTCCTCTTCCTCCTCCTCCTCCTTTTCCTCCTCCTCTTCCTCCTCCTCGTCATCAGCATCATCACCATCACTATCACCATCGCCATCACCAGCACTACCATCATCATCCTCATCACCATCATGACCCTTTGCCTCCTCCTCCTCCTCCTCATCATCATCATCATCATCAGCACCAGCACCAGCATCAGCATCATTATATTCTCCTTCGTCCTCCCCTCACTCCTCATCGATCTTCCTCCTCACCCCAGTCTCCTCCTCATCGTCCTCCTTCGTGCGTGAGGTCCGCAGCGAATGACGACGACGAACGAAGATGCGACCAACGCATGAACTCAGAGGCCTCCAAAATTGCCCAGGACGGCCCAAAAGGGCCCCTAGACGGCACAGGACAGGCCAGACGGCCATCAGGGCCTCAAAATGGCTAAGCAAACCTCAGCGTCGCAAAAACTGCTGAGGAGCGCGTTTCAAATTAGCCTGGCGAAGGACCCAACCAGAAGAAGCAGCTGCGAGTACCGAGCAGGATATGAGACGAACGATGGGGGCACGCAAACCATGAGTAGCGCAAGGCATGGCCCCTCTTCTCATGGGCACCGCACCGCTGCGTGGACGAGACAGGGCAGCGCGGGCAGGAGGTGGTTGGCGGAGGAGGAAGGCTCGGTGGGGCGAGCCACCACGTCAGCATCATCGCATCTGGACCTGCCACTGGACACGCAGGAAGAGACGCCGCGTAGATGTCAGAGGCAGGCCAGCAGTGGCACCAACGAGACCGGGGGGGCGCGCGGACCGGAAGCGAAGGGGAGCAGGGCGAGCGAGAGACGAAAATCCACCAGCCTCCTGCACCAGCCTGCCCAGCTGACTTTATGATTTTCGATAGACGCACGGCGAAAGAAAACCGACAGCCCCCGGAGGCCGTCGAAAGACGAAACGAAGCGCAGTTCCATCACTGTGAGACATTGCGCGTCTTGGCGTGCAAGTGGCAACTTTGTCGCGGGTCTCTCGCACCGGCAGGGCATTCGCAGACTAGGCCTCGTCCACAGGAGCCCGCTCGTGTTTCAAGAGGCCCACGAGGGGCGAAAGCCTCCGCTGGGGCCTTCGGTGGAGCACGGGCCAGGGACCACGAAAGGTATGAGGGGTGTGCCGAAATGGGTATGGGGGAGCTCACTCTGGGGCCACGAAACGTGTGAGGGGTGTGCCGACGTGGGTGGGGGGGCGGCATGCGGGCGCAGCAAGTCTGGCCTTCGGTGGAGCTCCCTCTGGGGCCACGAAACGTGTGAGGGGTGTGCCGAAATGAGTGGTGGGGAAGCATGCGGGCGCAGCCACTGGGGCCTTCGGTGGAGCTCACTATGGGGCCACGGAACGCGTGAGGGGTGTGCCGAGATGGGCAGTGGGCGCAGCCAGTGGGGCCTTCGATGGGGCCTTCGATGGGGCTCCCGCGGGGGGCCACGAATCGTGCGAGGGGTGTGCGTATGAGGGGTGTGCCGAGATCTGGTGGTGGGGAAGGCATGCAGGCGCAGCCACTGGGGCCTTCGATGGGGCTCCTTTTGGGGCCACGAAACGTGTGAGGGGTGTGCCGAAATGTGTGTGTGTGTGTGTGTATGTGTATGTGTGTGTGTGTGTGTGTGTGGGAGGGGGGTGGGGAGGCATGCGGGCGCAGCCACTGGGGCCTTCGGTGGAGCTCCCTTTAGGGCCACGGAACGTGTGAGGGGTGCTCCGAAGCTGATGGCGACGATGGTGATGATAACGCCGATGCTGGTGAAGATGATGGTGCTGATGACGCCGATGGCCATGATGATGACGATGATGACGACGCCAGTGAGGATGATGGCGATGACGATAACAATGGCGAGCAGGATGATGATGACGATGGTGATCGTAATGCCGATGATGGTTTGATGACGACGACGATGAGGATGATGATGGTGATCATTATGGCGAGCATTATGATTATCATGATGATGCTGGGAGGAGGGAGGGGGAGGAGGAAGGAAGGAGAGGAACAAAAACGATGACCCAACACCACAGAATCTTTGGGGAAGCCGTTGCAAAGGAGCGCGTTCAATAGGTACTCACGACCGCCCTAAAAGCTGCTAAGGAGCGCGCTAATAGCGGCTTTGGAGCGCTCAAGAAGCTGCGAAGGAGCGCCTTAGGAACAGGTACGGAGCGCGGTAAGAGCTGGTAAGGAACAGCTGCTGGGAGCGCCTCAGAGGCTGCTGAGGAACGCTGGAGAAAAGGTTGTAAAGTTTCGAAAGCGTCAGGACCTTCTGAACCTACAACTGGGGAGTGGGCTAGTGCAACGGGGAATGGACCAGCTTACTCGGGAAAGGTTTTTCCCATGCGAACGCCGCCACTGAGGACTCCGATGGAGCTCCCTATTCGGCCACGAAGCGCTGTACTGGGTGGGGGAGATTCATGCGAACACCGACACTGAGGCCTTCGGTGGAGCTTCCTATGGGGCCACGAAGCGCTGCTATTGCGCGGGGGAGACGCGTGCGAGCTCCGCCACTGAGGCCTTCGGTGGGTCTCCCTGTGAGGCCACGACACGGTTTACTGGGCGGGGGAGACGCATGCGAAAACCGCCGCTCGGGCTTTCGGTGGAGCTCGCTATGGGGCAGCGAAACGTTGCACTTGGCGTGGGAGACGCATGCAAACACCGCCACTTGGGCCGTCGGTTGATCTCCCTGTGGGTCACGAAGCGCTGTACTGAGTGGTGTGGACGCATGCGAACACCGTCACTTGGGTTTTCGGTGGAATTCCGATGGGTCCACGAATCGCTGTATTGGCGGGGAGGCGCATGCGAGCACAGCCACGAGGGCTTCTTGTCGAGCTCCCTATGGGGCCACGAGACGCCGTAGTGGGCGGGGGGGACAGTAATGCGAACACCGCCACTACGGCCTTCGGTGGACTCTGGATGGGGCCATGAAACGTTGTACCGGGCGGGGGAGACGCATGCGAACAACGCCATTGGGGCCTTCGGTGTAGCTCCTTATGGGGGCACGAGAAGTTGTACTGGGCCAGGGAGGCGCATGCGAACACCGCGATTGGGACCGTCGGTGGAGCTCCCTATGTGGCCACGAAGCGGTGTACTGGGTGAGGCAAACGCATGCGAACATCGCCAGTGGGGCCTTCGGTGGAGCTCCCATATGTGGCCACGAAGCGTTGTACTGGGCGGGGGACATTCATGCGAACACCGCCACTGGAGCCATCGGTGGAGCTCCTTATGGGGCCACGCAGCGCTGTATTGGGTAGGCGAGACGCATGCGAACACCGCTGCTCGGGCTTTCGGTGGAGCTCGCTATGCGGCCACGAAACGGTTCACTGGGTTGGGGAGACGCATGCGATCACCGCCACTGGGGCCTCCGGCGAAGCTCCCTTCAGGGCGATGAAACCTCGTATTCGGTGGGGGACATCCATGCGAACACCGCCACTGGAACCATCGGTGGAGCTCCCTATGGGGCCACGAAGTGCTGTCAGGGTGGGGGAGACGCATGCGAACATCGCGACTGGGGCCTACGGTGGGGCTCCCTATGGCCACGAAGTGTTGTATTGGGTTTGGGAGACGCATGCGAACACAGCCACTGGGCGAACACCGCCATTTTTGGCTCAAGCTGGCTCAAGGCTCAAGAGCAGACGCAGGATTCCGTCGAGCCGCCGCGCCAGCCTCTACCCGCGATGTTTGCCCCGCTGGCCTGGCCGCTGCGGCCGGGGGGCCGCTGGCACGCCGCAGGCGCTGCGCTGACCCCGGACGACGCCCACATGGACGGGGCGCTGAAAAGGGGTCGTTCCCGACGCCTCGACACCCGGGAATTGTGGGGATGGCCAAACCTGTGGAGCGAGTGTTGACCCAGCGGTGGGGGGCTCCGGTGGGACCGAAGGGGAACCCTGCTCCTCTGAAGCTCCCTCCTGCCCACCTCGTCAATGCCCGCCACCCTCCCATGGCCACCCCCAGGATCCTTCCAGATCCTGCCTCACTTCGTGCAACCCCGCCAGGGAGGAATTCCAACCTACAGGACCCTTCCCGCTGCTGCGGATCAGCGACGACATGAGCATTCGCGACGACCTCGACGAGCAAGGGATCTCCGACGCTGGCGCCGACGCCAACCTCAGTGACACCAGCACCGACTGCAGCACCGTCATCAGCAGCACCACCGCTGACGCTGACGCTGGCCCCAACTCTGACACCTGACGGGGAAGACCATCGTGCTCAACGTGGCGGCCAACTCCACGATTGGGGACGTCAAGGCGAGCATCCACACCTCCCAGGACATCCCACCAGACCAACAACGCCTGGCTTCCAGCAGCAAGCAATTGGAGGACAGCCGCGCCCTTGCGGACTACAACATCAAGAAACACGCAACGATGCACTTGATGCTCCGCCTCCGCGGTGGTGGACCAGAAACCCTGCTCACGGCATTACATTCGTGCCAGCACCATGCTTGTCCACTCTTCGGTGCCGTGGCACCAGGCGCGGGCCGATGCCCATCCTGCCACCAGGAACGGCACTTGCAGGCACCAGCGCCGCCACCTACGACGCTGCAGCCTTCGTCAAGTTTTTCGAGTGACTGCCTGCCAGCCTCCATGGACCTGGAGGGTGAGACCACTCTGACGCAGCAGGCCGCCGCTCTCAATATCGAAGCCCCGCCTGGCCTGCCCCGCGCTGCGCGACGAGACACGCTGCAAACCCCCACAGCAGCCATGGACGCCGATGCTCAGCCCCCGCCTCGCACGACCATCACCGACTCCGAGTTGCAGGACTTCTTCGAGCAAGAGGCCCTCCGGTACTTCGCACTCGTTCGTGCCAGCAGCCTCACCCAGCCCGACGACGTACGGCGCACCACCATCGAGTTCCCTAGCAACTGGGAGCGTCTCGAGCACATCCTGCATCGACTCGCTTACCGTCCAGAATCCGCAGACCCTTGGACTGTGCTCGGCCTCGGCCCCCTCGATGGCCCGGAACCCGAGGAGGTGGACATCTGCGCCCTCACGCGGGCGGCTCGCACGCTGTGTTCTCTCGCGCGAGACACGGCGTGGGAAGAGGGCGACCTTCGCAAGGCCCAGGCCGTCGATGCAACCTTCGTCGCTGCTGGTGCCAAGTGCGAGGAGCTGCTCGCAGAAGCCAGGCGCGCGCGCGCTGCCGCGCCCGCCCGGCCAAACTCCCCCGGTGGAAGGAGCTGGGCACGAACGCGCTTGCGGCCGTCTCGTCCCATCTCGCCCCTGGCTACACACACTTCGTCACGCAGTGGTCGCAGCTCTTGGATGCTACCGCCGACCACTCGCAGACCATCCAGTCCCGCCGGCAGCGCAGCGCTCTGTTGGAGCAGGGCGACGAGCAGGCCCTGCGGCTGCTTGCAGGTCAGAGGGTCCTCGCCTGGACACCTGAGAGCAAAGATGCCCTAGGCAGGATCCACGCGCAGCTTCTTCGGTCCGAGCCCGACTGTGCACCAGGGGCCCTCTACCTCTTGGCGCCCGTGCCGCACTTCTATAGGGGTCGACGCCGCTGCCGAGCTCCTCGACCTCTGGACTCACCCCCTGTTAGGGGAGAGGTTCGCCGCCACAGTCAGGAAGGTCACGATCGTCGTGCAGCCACTGGAATACGTGCTTCCCGGCCCCCGTGGGCCGCGGCATGTCCGTCAAGGGCTCGCCTGCTTCCACCTGTCGCGGAGCGGACCTCGCGCCGCCCCCAGCGTGGCTACCCCGCTCACACCCCTTCTGCAGGTGGAGGAGTACAACTCCTTCATCGTGGACGCGCACACGGACCACGTCCCCGAGATCATGCGAAAACTCGCCGACCCGCGCTACGCTGGCATCTTGGCGAGGCACCCGACGCGCAGCCCGAGCAGCACCGACGCCAGGAGCCGAGTTCGTTTGGAGCTCATCTTCACTGAACGTCTCTCCGACATGGCCATGAAAATGCGCATGCGGGACATCAAGCGCCGCGTCCTGACGATCGACAGCTACATTGGCCTGAAGTCCTTATACACAGACCCGAACGCGCTCATTCTTGAATGCTTCTCCCCGCTGGCCGTGGCAATGGTCAGCTCGCTCTGCTCGCAGCTGATCTTCCTTACCAGCGATAGGGTCCTGCTCCTCACGGAGGCCTCGACGGAAACGTGGACGCAGTTGCTGAACGACGCGGCGAAAGAGGACGAGGCGCTCACAATTACGCGCCTCCGCTGGAAGGCTAGCAAGTATGGGGGACGACGCAATTACGTCTCCACGCACATCGCTTCGAAGGATACTGCGCTCAGCATCCTCGGCGGCGACGTGAATTTCGTGGCCGACGAGAAGGATAGGATCAATTTGACTCGCATGATTCCGTCTGAAGCCCGCGACTCTCACGAGGAGGCCCGCTGGGACGCTCTGGTTGCACGGCCGCACGGGCTCCACGAACTTTACCAGCCCAACATGACGTACGCATCGCCCAACGCACGCTCTCGACTCGACAGGCTGTACTGCAATCAGGAGCACACGCACTATCTGGACTACAACATGTCTTGCGCGGCCCTGCAGTGGTGCCCCAAGGAGCTATCCCGCCACAGGGCAGTCAGTTTCCGCCGCGCGTGGCCGTGCCGCGACGCAGCATTCTTGCAGCCGCTCGCCGACCACGTCGTCGACCACCCCGACTGGCCATCTAAGGTGGCTTTAGCTTTGGGGGAGCTGCTCGACCAGGATCCCGATGCATCTGCTTTGAATTTGAAAAAGGTGCCGTTGCTCAAGGAGGCAATGCGGTCTGCTGCCACCCACCTGGATATGCACGCGCCCAATGTCACAGGCACGTTGACTACGGAGGATCGGCTGGGAACGACGATGCGATTCTTGCGAGCTTCGGAGCGGCAGTCTCCGAGCACGATCGGTTCTTGCATCTCCCGCTACCCCGCCTCGTGCACGATGGTCGACAACCCGTGCGACTTCACCGCCCCGCCCCAGGCGCGGCTCAGACGCATCCGTCAGCACGCGCTCGACCTGGCGCGCGACCACTCGCTCGAGGAGCTCAATCAGTTGCACGGCGAGTTAGCGAACCTACCCCCCGAGCAAGCCGCGCAGCGCCGCCGACGGGTCCATCGGCTGCTCCACAGCCTCGCCCCGGGCCGCAGCTGCGCGACCTTCGCGATCTTGGACCGGCAGGGCCACGCGACCACCGACCCATCGGCGATGGCCTCCACCCTGCGGGACCACTGGTCGACGGTCTTCGCGGCCCAGGACACTGACGCAGACTTACGCTCGCGATGGTTGCGCGAGGAGGCGGAGCACATCCCACCAGACGCGGCACGACACCGGCCCTTCGCCACGCCTACCCGGGACCATTTCAAGAAAGCTTTCCGCTTCTCGAAGAGTAGTGCCCCAGGCCCGGACGGCATTACATTCCGGGCGTGGCGCAAGCTTGGTGATTTAGGGACCGACGTTCTTTACGAGGCGTTGTGCCTTCTCACCTCCGACGCTACGCTGGGAGCACTTGATAGGGATTGGCACGCCTTCAACGAGAGCCTCCTTGTCTTCTTGCCGAAGAAGCCTTCCCACGAGATAGAGGACGGCATCCTAGCCTACGAAGCGCCCAACACCAGACCGCTCAACATCACAAATGCTGACAACCGGCTTATCTGCAGCGCGGTTTGGCTATGCATTGAACCACAGGCTGCCCCAGCGATAGCCGGCGAGCAGCGGGGCTTCATCAACGGACGCTCGATGCTGGCCAACGTCGTTGACGTGGAGGCGTCGATGTTAGAACACGCATTTGCTTCGCCAGCGGCAGCCGCGGTGTTCTTTGACTTCGAGGCCGCCTTCCCGAGCGTCTCGCACGCCTTCCTTCGCGACGTCCTCGCGGCAAAAGGGTGGCCGCCTTGGATGCGCACGTTCGTTGATGGACTATATTGGAACAGCACCTGCAATATCTCTTTGGGTGGCCACAGGCACGAGGGATTCACACTTTGTTCTGGGGTTCGCCCGGGCTGCCCCCTCTCACCGCTACTATTCGCTGTTGTGTCGGACGTTCTTCTTCGGCGTATCCTGCGATTGACTCCGCTAGTCACGCTCCGGGCATGCGCGGACGACATCGCCGCCGTGCTCCCGAACGCCCTCGCCGAGGCAGGCATCCTGGAGCGCGTCTTCACGGAGTACCGCGCAATTTCTGGCTTGCGGCTGCACCGCGGGAAGACGGCATGGGTCCCCCTCACGCTTCACGACGAGGGGGACGTCCGGAACGACCTACAACAACGCGTACGCGTCTGGAGCGATTTTGCCATCCAGCGACACGCCACGTACCTTGGATTCTGCATGGGGCCGGGCAGGGGAGACCAATCGTGGACGAAAGCGGTCGCCAAGTTCCAGGAGCGGGCCCAGCTCTGGCAGCAGGTCGGATGCGGCCCCTTCAACACCATCCTCGCTTACAGGACCTACATCGTTCCCGTCCTCTGCTTCCTCGCACAGCTCCTGAACCTTCCACGGAACTGGGGGGACATCGAGCGCAAGGTGTGCAAAACATTTTTTCGGGGCCCAAGGGTCTGGACCTCCCCGCGCATGCTCCGCAACCTCCGTTTCCTGGGCTTCCAGGCTGGGCTGCCGAACTTGTTCGACATCGCTACGGCCGCGAAGTGCCGGGTGGTCCGGTGGGGGAACGCGGGCCAGGGCGGTTTGGACATCGTGTGTCGCCACAGGGACATGGAACGAGTTATCGGGGACAGCTCATTCATACACCGTCTGGCTCACTGGCGCGAGTGGGTCGACACCAACATCCTTGCGAACTTGGCGCGCGCATGCGCAAGGCTACAGCGGGCTGCCCGGAACGAGTCCCTTACCGTCTCCGCCCTGCTTCGCGGGCAATCGCCGCGCGACGTGGCCCAGAAGGACTGGCAGAAGACGGTCGTCCTCCGCTTGGGGACCGATGAGCGGGAGTTGGTCTACCGTGAGCTCCGCCGGCACATGGACCGTTTCCCCCTCCTCCTTTTCCCTGGATGCCGAGTTGCCCGTGCAGTCGGGCTTCTGCGAGGTATTGCCCAAGATGCCCCCCCCAGGGTGTGGTTTGCCACGTTCCGCGCGCTTTGCAACGGCTGGGTCACCAGAAGTCGTTTTGGGGTTTTGGGGATACCGCCGCCTGCATTTTTGGATGCGGCCACCACCAAGATTCATTGCGACACTACGCGGCGTGCCCGGTATTGTTGGACTTCGCCCAGCGGAAGCTTGGTCTCCAACGGGCTACGCCAACGGACCGCCTCGACACCTTTCTCGCGCTCCACACGCCACACAATCAGCAGTCGGCCACCGAGCTCGCGAAGCGTGCGTTGGTCCTCTACGCCGCGCACTCGGCAAGTTGTGCCAGACGTCATGGGGGCACCGCCGGCGCCGCAGAAGCACTCCTACAGTACGCACGCGAGGCGGCCGCTGGACACCATGGCCTCCGTCGTGCACTGGCTGCCACGTGGACCCGGTAGCGCGCGGCTGCAGCCCGCGGGCGGCGCGTGAGATGCCAGGGAGGCGCCGCTGGCGGTGCCAGCGCCGCCCGTTTTCCCTTCTTCTGCGTTCTCCTCCTCTTCGTCCTCTCCTTCTCCTGCGGGCTTCCGCTGACAGTGCCTCCTTTTGGTGCCGGCCCATGCGTTTATTTTTTTCGGCCACGCTCGCAGGACAGCCTGCGAGCGGACTGCCGCTCGAAGTTGTGCAAAATAGGTGGTGCATGCCCTTGCCCCGACGCTTGTGCACCACCCCCACCCTTCCTTCGGTTTGCCGCCTCTGTGATGCATCGCGCCGCACGCGTGTAATATTTGCTTCCTGTGTTGCATACCGCCGCACGTCACTTCGGAGCAACGAAATTCGTGACATTTTCGTTGCGTCTTGCACTGGGGTGCGATTTATTTTCTGCGAGCGGATAGACTCGGTGACGCTAATGCGAGGCAGCCTCTGTCCCGGCCGCGTGGCCGATAGTGCCACGGATGGGCCGGTACTCCCAAATTCCGCCAGTGTTTAGGAGAACGCCCTGTGAAACACTGTGTGGCGGTATCCTTGTTTCTGACACAGCTACTTTCAATGCGAGGCAGCCTCTGTCCCGGCCGCGTGGCCGATAGTGCCACGGATAGGCCGGTACACCCAAATTCCGCCAGTGCTTAGGAGAACGCCGTGTGGAACACTGTGTGGCGGTATCCTTGTTTCTGACACAGCTACTTTCAATGCGAGGCAGCCTCTGTCCAGGCTGCGTGGCCGATAGTGCCACGGATAGGCCGGTACACCCAAATTCCGCCAGTGTTTCGGATAACGCTCTGTGAAACACTGTGTGGCGGAATCCTTGTTTCTGGCACAGTTACTTTTCAATGCGAGGCAGTTCCCCCTCCTCCGCCTTGTCTTGTTTCTGTCGTCGTTGGTCTGGTCCTCTTGCCTCCCCCTCCTCCTCTTCTGGATTGTGGCCGTTTTTCTTTTATTTTCTCCCAGCTGTGGCTGGGCAGCCAAAGGGCTGCAGGTGAGGTATTCTTCGACTTCCGATGTGACTGCACACGCTCGTGCCTGGCCGCCATCTGGGACTGCGGACGGTTCCCATGGGTGTTATGCGACTCATAATTCCTCGCTGCCATACTCCAACAGGTGCTCCTGTGCCGTCTCCCTCGTTTTCCTCTCTCCCTTCCCCCTCCCGGTTTCACCGATACGACTTGGAGTTATACGTATCGTCCTAGGTTGGGTTCCTAGGAAGGGGCAGAACAACTTTGCTCCACCTGTTGGCTCCGTTGTGCAGCTTTAGTAATTCCTTCTTCCTTCCGCCTCCTCCTGCTCCTCCTCCTTTTTCCAGCCCGGGTCCGGGGCGATCGTGTTTTTGTCTCCGCTACGCTCTGCATTGCGGTCGGCTGCGATTGTGTGTCATTTAAGTGCGGTTGGGTGCCACAAGGGCTTCACACAATGTATGCTGTCCAATTTTGATAGCGCTGCGAGCGGTTTCGAATTCTGTCCGCTTCGATCCTCTCTGCTTTCCTCCTTTTTCTCCCCCCCCAAAAAAAAACGCCATTGGGGCCTTCGGTGGAGCTCCCTATGGGGCCACGCAGCGCTGTACTGTGTGGTGCGTGGCGGAGACGCATGCGAACACCGCCATTTTGGCCGTCGCTGTAGCTCCCTATGGGGCCGCGAAACGCTGTGCTGGGTCGGGGAAGCGCATGCAAGCACCGCCATTGGGACCATCGGTGGAGCTCCCCATGGGTGAACATGATGAGGATGATGAGGATGATGATGCTGCTGAAGTTAACGCTGATGCTGATAATGAGGATGACAGGAGGAGGGAGAAAAGGGGGATCAGGGAGAAAGAGGAGGAGAACTCCGGCGCGCTGTCTCTTCAAAACGAGGACCCAACACCACAGGATCGCTGGGGAAACTCGGTCCAATCAGGACGTCCCGCTTCGACGGCCGTGGGGCCCGATCGCGGGCCCCGCGGAGGCCCACGCCGGGGAGAAAAGCGCCAAGAGTAAACGAAGTCGTGCTGTCGGAGATCTGGCATTGAGATCCGACGTCACAGACCATGCAGCATTACGAAAACCCACGACCTGATCCCAAGACCTCACCATCCTGCGCCATGTTTTGGAGCCGGACCGATCTGTGGCGGGCCACGGGGCCCGAGCCAGGGTGCAAACGCCTGGCACGAAAGCGTTGCAACGCCATGATCTCAAGGGGGGGTGTTGTGCGCCCGCGATCCTCCAGGGGTGTCTGGAGCGGTCCGGCACCAGCGGGCAGAGCTGCTCGAGGCGCTCGCGGACAAGTCGCGGGGCGCCACGGCCGGGGAGCCGCCGCTGGCGTCCAGGCTCCGGGAGCGCGCTGCCGTGCTGCGGGCCGACGAGGCGGTGATGCAGGCGGGCGCGCCCAGCTGACGTCCGGGGTTTTTGTTTTCCTCGAGGGGAGAGGCGCGATGAAACCAAAGAACTCTCAAGCTGTGGATGCGCGATTTTTGCAATACGTCCTGACTCTAGTTCATGGGAAAAGTGCCCCTTCTAGTTTCGAGCCTCGGCGGCTACTGAAACGCAAAACGTGCATGCCTGTACACGTGCAATCTTGCAGCAAATCATGCGGGCAATCATCGCAATCATGCGCTGCACTGGAAGGAAGCCGCTGTTATCCCCTGGCGATGACGGGCGTAACGGGGGGGGGCGGGGCGAGGCGCCGGTAGCGTCACGTTTCGTGTTGGTCGGGAGCCTTGAGACGGGGGTCAATGCAAAAGGGGGTGGGTCAGCCAGAACGCCCGATCTTGCAGGGCCAGGGTCGTCGCATTGACCCGGGTTCGGGTGCAGGATCGTGCAGGTTCTTGCAGAATCCTTCGCATTGACCCAGTTTGGGGTGCAGGATCTTGCAGGATCGTGCAGGATTATGCAAGGCCTGACTGACCCAGGTCTGGATTGACCTGGCTCAGAAGACCCCCGAGTTGGCGCCGTCTGGGGACGTCCAGGAAGAACCCAATAGGAAGCGGATGTCAGCACGAATCGTGGCGTTACTTGGGTCGGGGGGGGGGGATGGAGGGGGGCGGGGGCCAGTAACAGCCGCGATCGCAAGAAAAAACGCTTCAAGACATCACGACTAGAGGGTTTTTCGCTATTGTCGGCCTCTGGGAGCCCTGGCTTGGCCTCGGGACCGTCAAAAACGACTCGGGATGAAAAACCGGTCCCGGGAATGGGTGGTCGAGACCTTTGGGGATCGTTTTGAAAAGATCAAATCGTCGGGGAACCAGGGAAGCGGCACACTGGCCATGACGACGATGTCGTGCGGGATCTTGTCGACGCCGATCCTCATGAGCCATGCTGGTCGTCGCCGACTCACCAGGATGATCCACGAATTGACGCTGACCAAGATAGACGGTGACCAAGGTCGACACAACGTGTGTCCGCGTCGAGTCTTGGTCTTGGTCATGGTTCGGCGGCGAGCCCAGGTGGGATGCAGACGGGCGAGCGTTCTCAGAAGGCTCGAGATCTCGCGCCTTCTGAGAAGTCTCCTAAGCCCCCCCCGAAGACACAAAAACTCACCAGAGGGCGCGAGGGGTGCTGAGGAGCCAAGCCGCCTTCCAAGAATGCTTGCCCCCCCTTTCACTTCCCCCCCTGGGGTCGCCGCCCCATACATCACCGTGACGAAAGTTTCTGCCAATCTGCCTTCGCCAGCAGCGTATCCCCGCGAAGTAGTTCGGAGTAGAAGTGATCCAACCACTCCGCGCGTGGGCGCATCCCGCTCGGTAACTCGGGGCTTGGCGCGGAGTAGCTGCCGATACGGTTCCGGGGCAAGAGAGTTAGAAGCATTGGGCGGATCGGAAGCTACTCCGCCGAATCGCGCGGTCATCATGCCATGTAAGGAACACTGAACATGGCAGTCATCACCATGGCAAATTGACGAAACGTTTGTCACGGCTGTGTAATGGAGGATGACGATTCATAAATGACCGGGGGTCGTGTTCACGCGGCGGCGCCCGGGATGACGATTAGAAAAAACCGGCCGCGGGGTGGATTTTTTTTTTTTTTTTATATAAAAAAAAAATCGTTCTCCTCCAGTCAGAAAATTGCGCAGAGATAGCTGAAAACTATTTTTCGAATCGTTCTCTCTCATTTTTTTTATCGTCATCCTGCTGTAGTCCCCCTCGCCTCCCCACCTCCCGAGGGCTCCCTCCCGAGCCTCCGCCTCGGCGCCCGAGCCCCCGCGGGCGACCGCCGAACCGCCGTCGGCCGCGCGGGCAGGCCAGCTCCGCCCAGCCAGTGGCTCGGCGGCGCGCCTGGTGGCGCCCTTCCTCCTCCTCCTCCTCCTCCTCCTCCGCCCTCCTCCTCCTCCTCCTCCTCCTCCTCCTCCTCCTCCTCCTCCTCCTCCTCCTCCTCCTCAAACCGCCATGATCATCCAGGCCATCAGTAGTTATCGCATGCAGAAAGGAGGAGTATCACACATCCTGCGGTGCCATGATGCGACCAATGCGTTTTTTCTCTTGAGCACAAAGCAGTACTAGCTGGAGCTGAAAAAATATATCATGATAACGATTTAGAGTTTATTTCGGACCGCATCACCAAGGGCGTTTTCAAGCTAGAGGACGAGTCTGGGTGCTTCTGGCTTCGACCTGGCTCAGGAGTTTTCCTGGAGACACAGGAGCCACGCTGTTATTTGTGCGCACATTCTCGATGCCTGTCCTGCAGAGTACAGCCGACCAGTTTGTCACGAATGGCTGGCACATTGCAGTTGAGGCTAGACTTCCCTGGGACCACGATGGCGTGGACATGAGGCAAGTCGCTCTCACTGGCTTCGTAGACGATATTGCCAACAAGGTATTGGAGGTGGGGGAAGGGTCAGCAGAATATCAACTTGCAGCAGGATCACAAGCAGAACACACAGCAATCAGCGCAGGCATGGGGGAGGTGGGAGCGACTCAGAATATCAGCAAGCAGGGAAACATCTTGTATCTCGTGGGCCAAGGAGCTCACAAACTTTCTCGGCGCCTTCACTCTGGCCTTCTTGCAGGGGTCGAAGGAGTATGTAAGCATCACGTACGCTACTTGGGAGAGCATTTTTCGTCGACCTTCTCACCAGTACCTGAGCTAGGCAAGCGCCAGAATGCACTACGCGTCAGCTTCTACACTACGGGCAGTTTTTGGTATTCGAAGGCCCCCTGGAGGCTCAAGGTCAACATGGTCAAGGGGCTCCTAGTCAACAGCGCTCTCACGGGAATGGAAGTCTGGGCCAAATCCAATGGACCTCTTCTACCACGGGACCTCAGTGGGCTCGAAAGGTTCATCGTGGGCAAGTGTAGGGCCATTCTCGAGGGTACGTGTGAATGGAGTAGTGGGCACGCCAAGACCCTCAGCAGTCACGAAGTCCTCAAAAGGTTTGGAATGGTGCCTCTGTTTCTTGAACTCAGGATTCGGAGATTGAAGTGGTATCAGGAGCCCTCGAAGGCCAAGGAGTTCCATGGGCAGTTTTGGGCAGCTATGTTAGGCACTATGGCAGTAGATGGCGAGGTTTTAGTTGATGGTCGAGTCCCTGCGTCTGGGCATCCTTGGGCTCTGCAGATGCAACAGGACATCGATTTCCTTGCGTGCACAGAGTCAGGCGAGGACCTCGTTCTCGATGCAGACAATCGCATCGACAGGATTCTTTTCGATCCCGACACGTCTGAGCAGTTTCAGCGCTTGGACATCACCGAGCTACGCGCTGTGTTTCTTTGTCGTACCGCCACCAGCGCGGCAATGCAGACGGAGCCAGGCACAGAGGAAAAATTGTTCTACTGTCGGGAGTTATTGGAGGACGGGTCAAGGTGTCGGACAACATGGCCTTCGCACAAGCAGCTTATTGCACGTATTGCGTCTACACAGGGTGGCGCACATGGTCGTCTTCACATCGCTCGGATATGCACCCCCTCGAATGAATGTATGTTATGTGGAAGTGTATTTCGAGAGCCCGTCGTCGCCAAACAGCACACGAAAAGAAGTCTCGTTCGGCAATGTTGTCCTTATGGTCGAGGTCGATATGAACAAACGGTGAACGAATACAGAAACACGGAATGCCAAGTTTGTCTCGATGAGTTCGACACCGTAGCCGATTTTGTCGAGCACCTGTTTCAGCACCTTTCCGAGTACCTCAGTCCGCCGTTCTACGTGAGACTTGATGGCGGACGCCGCGTCCTCCCTGGTGAGACCACGAGGCAAGAGTTTCTCCTACGTCTCAGGCGGCAAGTCGGAGAAGATCGCCAAGCACGCGAGCCAGGAGGACGACGAGGACATGGACGAGGAGGAAAGCCCGCACAATAATCAGCTCAGGGACGACCTGCTGATCCAGCTCGAGACCCGCGCGCGGGCGCTCGAGCACGCCGCCTTCAGCACCGCCATCATTCCCAGGAAGCCGGTGGCAATAGAAGCGATGAACAGCTCGTTCCAGGACTACCTCAAAGCAGTGAAAGAGAACCCAGACAAACAGTTGGCAGGGCCCGCATCCCAAGCCCTTTTCGCTCTGCTGACCGCTATAGAAGTCTTCGAGCACAAGGATACTTCGCCAAGGATGATCAAGGTCTTACACGCCTGCAAAAGGCTGTCGCTCATGATGGAGAAGTGCGGGCCAGAACTAATGTGCAGCTGGGTGAAGGAGCTGGTAGCTCTGCCGACATTCGACCGTCCAGGAGCCGAGCCCAAGAGTCGCCTTACGTTCTCGCTCAAAGGGTCTTTGCTTCTTCCACGCGAAGACGCCGCAGCAGCGAGCATGCTCACAGAGCTCCAGAACTACGACGACACCAAGAGCACGGTCATGATCAGCCCGCTGGAGACCCCGATGGAGCTGTTCCACGTGCCAGGCCTGCGGGTCCCCACCGAGCAGATTGTCTGCGAGGCGCTGAGGAGCATGGGCGGTGAGATCAAGATGAATAGAGCCCCCAGGGGCAACCTGAGTCGCCAGCTCGGAGGCGGCAAAGGCAGGGGCAAGAAATCTTCTAAGTGATTGACGCCTGCCGCGGCCGCGCTCCCGTGCTGGACCCCGCAGAGCGGTCATCAGCCTGCTGCCTCTCTCGCTGGCCCTGTGCGCGCCTCTCTTGTTGTGTTTCTTCTCGGAGCTTAGGCCCCAGAGCTCAGCCTTCAGATGCTCTGCGGTTGTGCGCTTGCGCCTCCATGGATGCTACTTGGAGGCAGAGGCGCTGGGGCTCAACGTCCGTGGGTCTCTCTTCCAGCGCGTGGCAGGTCAGCAGCATGGTTGCCGAAAGGCGAAATGTCGAAAGGGTGGCGAACAAAGAATTGTCGACCCAGCCCGAGCCAGCGTTTTTTCAACCAGTCACGAACGGTCTTGAAGGGCTTGAGAACTGAACTGAACTCCTCCTCCTCCTCCTCCTCCTTTTCTCCGCCAGAATTCTCAG